ATATGTAAAGGATGTCAGATAGCTACAGAGTATGCAATTTTAAAAAAGTTGGCATGTAAGTTAAGAGTTTTGTTAGTATTAATACAGCAGAATAGTTTTGTGCCAGGTTTGTAGAAATAAAAATAGTGCATTTGTTGGCAATTGTATTAGAATTAAGATGACATCTAGAGCATAATGTAGTAGTTGAGAGAGGAGTAGGATATAGGTTTGAAAACTGGGACTGATATGACAGTGCCAATATATAATGAGGGTAAGGCCTATAGAAGTATTATGCCTTCTGGCCTTATCAATAATTATTTGGTCATTGAGAACAGTAAGTAACCAGAGTTTGGTATTAGAAGTAAAGTGGCCAGTGGAATAAGAAAACTAGTTTGTTTAAGGTAGGTTAAAGTGATCATATAGAGTGCATTGAAGAGAATGGCTTGTCATAATGTTCTCAAGAGTAGTGAACTATTAAAGTACAACACTTTTAGAAAGCTTATTTAATCTAGGAGAAATGTGTTTCCAGTATAATAAGCATAAATTATTATATGTAGTAAGTTGGTCAAGAAAGAGTAATTTGTGATATCTAAGTTGCTTTTTGAAAATAAAATATTTGGGATGATAAAAAGAAGAGATTCAGAAGAAATAGCTTCATCATTTAATGTAAATAAAATGTTATAAGTTGGATTAGCAGAAAATATTTAGCCAATATGTTTAATAAGCTGAATAATTTTAAAGTTTGTAGTTAAATGGTTAGAACTATCAATAATAGGATTAGAATGTAAGAAGATATTAGTAGAAGACCAAAGATTGTTTTGTAGCTGTTAAATTCAGATGTGAATTGATGTGCCTAATAGGTTAGGATTATTAAGTCATTTAAGAAAGTTAGAAATATAGTGTTGTAGTTAGATATCCCAGATGTGTTTGATGTTGTAAATTTGGAAATATAAAAGAGTACTAGAGGGTATTGTATGACAAAGTTTAGCTTTGAGTTTAACAAGGCTAATATGCTAAGTAAAGATTTTATTGCAGATAGGCTAACTAACTACAATGTTTTGGAAATAATATTCAAAAATAAGAATGATGATTGTATTAATAATGTAACAAGCATGTGAGTTAGTAATACATTAGGTTTTAGCAATTTGAATAAGTTGAGAGAATTTAGCAATAAACAGATTTGTTTGTTTAGATTGCCTATTGTCCAAAATGAACCAGCAATCTAAAAATTTAAAGAGTTGTTTAGGAGAATGTACTAGAAGAAGATGATTATTGTAGAAGATAGGGATATAGTAAGGTGGAGGATTATTGGTAACTAGGATAGATTTTGAGGGGTTAACTTGAATGTTAGCTATAGCATAAAATGATTTAGCTATAAATAGTATGTTGAAAAGCTTAGTTTGTGATGAAGCAACCCAAAGAGTATTATTCATATATGCCAAAACAGAGCATTGTTTTTGTAAAGTGTTGAGTGTTTGAAGTTTAAAATTAATAAACAAAGAGAATTGTAAGGTATAGTCAGGCACTTGTGCATATATATATTAAATAAGTAGATCATAATATATGCACCATAATAAAAGGATAATGGTTTTATCTTGGTCAATGCCATTGTGAACAAAGTATAAAGAAGTAAGACCAAGATTAGTAATGACTTGGTTATGATGATCAGTTAAAAGATCAAAAAGGATATTAATAATAGATGAAAAGAGTGCCAAATGAGAGAGTGAATATTTAAAAAGAGTAAAGTTGACAGAGTTATATGCTTTACTTATATCTTGTAAAAGTAACCAAATGTTCTTATGATTGCAAGTAGCATCTTCAATAAGATTATTAAGAATGTGAATAGGGATTAAAGTGCTATTGTTAGGAAGTGCAACATCATTAAAAGGTGAAAGAATAGGATTAAAAGTAAATATAGAGCTTAGTCTGTTTGTAAGAATTATGATATATAGTTTGTGAATATGTTCAACAAGACTAATAGGTCAAGTAAGGTTAAAGTCATCATCAAAAGAGTTATGTTTGGGAATAAGATAAATTTTGCTATATTTCTATTGCTTAGGAATTCTGTTTTCAAGAAGGTAATGATTAAAAAGACAAGTAATAGCAGAAGTGCATTCAAAGCTAATATGTTTAAGCATTTCATAACTAATACCTGTAGAACTACAGGTTTTGTTGTTAGAAAGCTAAGTGAGAGTTTGAAAAAGTTCTTAATTTGTAATAGGAGAGTTCAAAAATTGGTATCAGGTTGGATTGATATAAGGCAATAGGAGATAGTATTGTTGCCAAAAAGTATTGAAAAGAGTTTCATTAATAGGTCTAAATGCAGTCCAGTCATGAAAATGTGATTGAACATGCTGTTTAATAAGTAGTGGATCAGTTATAAGCTCATTAGACATTTTTATATTAGAGAAATAGACAGGTTGATGATAACAGTTAAGAATGCTGTTAATGGCTTAAGTAGGATGTGTTGTAAGAGTAACACATCTTTTGTCAGTGGCTTCATTAATTTGTTGTTAAAGTAAAAGAAAGTTTTCAAAATAATGAGTATAAAAAAGTTGTTTCCAAATAGAGTAAGCATGTTGAAGCCATGATTGAGTACAAAATGGGTTGGTGAAGTTAAGTAGTTGAAGGTCAAATTGTGACTGTTTTTTATATAGAAGATGTTTTGATTGATGTTGAAGATGTCAAAATGTTGGGTAAGTTTTTTAATAAGTTTAATAGTATAACTGAGTTTTTTAAGTAATAGATATAATAGAGTACTGTGAGGTGAATATTGGTGGTTGTAGCTACATTTACAAGAAACTTTATTAGGGATAGTATAAGTAGCAGAGTAAATAATAGAGCTTTAAATTTTGTACCAAGTTGTTTCAATGCTTTATCAGTTGCACTATTGGTAGGAGTTTTGTGTAATAAGAGTTGTTGAGATAAGGTATCTGCAAAGAATTCCCAGTTCTCTGTAGACATAGCCTTGTAATTAAAGATATGGCAACTAATACCAATATGTTTATGTAAGAGTTTGCTATAGGCATGTAGGAATGTCCATGTGGAAGAAAGAATTAGATGGTCACTGAAGGTTGAGGTTTGGCTGTTATCAAGACTGTAAGAAAAAGAAAATTGTATATTAAATTGGTTAGTCCAAATGTAGTCAATATGACTACTGCTAGTATTGTTAGACCAGGTAGAGTGTTTGTTGTTAAGATGAGCCCCAATATCATATATATTGGTGTTGTTAAAAAAGTTAATAAGTTTGTATTTAGAAGAAAAACTGTGAGTATTATCTTATATATTAAAATTATCAAGAATAATAGAGTAGATATAAAGTTAAGAGACTTGTTGAATCTAGTTAATAACAGTGTTTTTAGTTTGATTATGAGTAGAGATGTTAGTTGATAACAAGTACACTGACTTGATGTGGAGTTTGATATTACTTTGGAAGAAAATATCAAGTGCTATAGCATCTTTAAAATGGGTATAAATACTGTGAATATGAGGTTTAAAATGATTGCAAATCATAGTAGCAGTGTCTTCGATAAAAGTAGGAGAGTTAGATCAATAATAGATAAAAAAGTTATTATTGCAAAAGAAAAGGTTAGTTTTGTCAGAAATTTTGGTTGCTATAATGCTTGTAATAGATATTTTATGGTTAAGACAATAATCTTGCTAGGCTTTTTTTTTGATAAGTTCATTAAAGCCTTTAATATTATGTGTAGCAATGTTAAGATAGAGATGATGTGAGGTTGAATTAGGTAAAAGTGGAAGAGAATTGCAATTAGAAAGAGTTGAAGAATAATTGTTAAGAAAAAGGTCAGATATAATAGGAGTAGAATTAAAAAAGTTAGATCTGAGAGGTAGGTTATAAAATAAAGAAAGAAGATGTAGAACAATAATAATATAATCTGATAAAAGAGTGTCATTAGAAAGATATATGTGGGTTTCATTATAAGATGAATTGACAGAAAATATAATACTAAATACAGTTTTGTTATTGTTATATTTGTCAATATGTTGGATTAGAGTTTGAATAGTTTGACCATGAGGAAGAAGTGGTAAATTGTAGTAGTTAAGATTTATTTGATTTAATCAAATTCCATATTAGGTATAATTAATAAATGCTATAGTTATTATACTGTATTAGTATACTTATGTTTGAATAAATGTCATAGCTAAATTAATTAAGTGTTGCATTAGATTTTGTCAAATAAACTATGCTTAATAAATAAATACTATATTATATTACTCACAAAGTTAGATTGGCATGTTATATTTGAATTAATACTTGAATGCCACATTAAATTATTTAATTTAATCAAATTCCATATTAGGTATAATGATAAATATCACATTAAGTTACTTATGTTTGAATAAATGTTACATTAAATTTAACTTGAATAAATGCTGAAAATGCCATGTTAATTAACTACTAAATAAATGCATTGTTATATTAGCTACTATTAAATAAATAAATATAAATTGGTTAAATTCCTAATCACTATATCAAGATTATAATATAGTATTTAGTAAAAATGTCCTAATCTGTAAGTGTATAAGCAGAAATGAAGTTGCCACTAATACATAGTAGATCAGGATATTTTTATTGTCACATGTAATAGTAATATCATTGATTATGATCTTCTAGTTGCAATTTGTTATATTCATCTTGTCACTATAAACCATTATGACTATTTTATTATTCTAATTATAGCTATTCTTACAATTGTAAAGTAATAAACACAAATAATAGTACTAAAGTATATAAACCAAAAGAAGTCACATTAATAAAGAAATTCAATGTTTGAAATTCAACATTTAATAAAATAAAACATATACTTACTATTTGCTTGTTCATTTTTAAACAAAAAAAATAAACTAAAAATTATAAATTTTAACAATAAAAATTCAATTCAATACAATCTGTCTTAACATTATAATTTATTACAATAGAAACTTCTTGTTCTGCATATACTAACTATAGAAAAAAGACGCCTATTAGTGAATTTATAAGAATCAGAACAACTGACAAAATGAAACAATTTCAAACATGTAATAACTACTATATTAGAAAATTTAAACCTTCAAAAAATATCAAAAAAAGACAGTTAGAAATTAATGAAAATGAAGATCAGAAAAATAAAGATCAAGAACCTGAAAATGATAAAAATAAAAATCAAGAAAACAATGATCTAGAAATAATAAATTCAACAAACCTTTATAATCATTTTGCACAGCTTTTAAATATATATTTGATGCAATCTAATGATGATTCAGAAAATATGTTGCCATTCCAATTTCAATATGGGGTAGATGTATCAATGTTTGATGGGTTAGAAAAAGAAGTTGTAAATAAATTGGTTAAATTAATTAAAAGTGTAGACAAATTCTCATAGATGTATGTATTATTTTTGCATACTTATCTTAAATCCTTGAATAACAGAAATAGGCTTTATTTTAAATTTTGGTCTGAATTAAGCTTAATTTAGGCTAAAATTTGAAATAACATCCATATCTGCTATTTTGAAAATTTATAAATACTATTAAACCTTATACTTAACAAAATTTGTCCAAAAGTTATCATTATATGTATGTAGAAAAATTCACAATGACATATTGGTATTATTACTCACAATTAAATATTTTGGCAGCTAAATTAAGAAAGCATGAAGATTTTTTGAAACATTGTAATAAATTATTAATAGATCAATTTGATTGCAATAATGTTGTTAAAATTATTACTAATCTATTAACTAATACAGTAAAATTAGTATTAAAACATAAGTTAATACATGCACTATCAAAAGATGTAGCAGTACCCCAAAGTGTTAAAGAATTCATTAAAAAAAACATTAACCTGCTATCATAAGAAATAAATTTATAACTTGTTAATAATGATTTAAGTATACTTATTAGACAAAAGCAAATCTATTTTTGGTAGACAGAGCTAGGAAAAAATAGATATCAGCATCAAGATGATGCATTTAAGTTAGCTATACAATGGCTTAATGAAGAACAATATAAAATCATCTTAGAAGAAACACAACCCATTCATGTTTTAGCAATTATAACAGAACTTCATGATTGTTTGTTAAAGACTAATATTAATATTTATGAATGTAGCATTGATGCAACTTGTAAGTAAAATATTTTATATACCAAAATTTTATATTATAATTAGCTATATGTAGTATATAGATATTAATACAATGCTGTAATTAATTATAATTATAATGAATTATAGCAAAAAATACTATAATTAATTATAATTAAGATCAATTACAATACTGCATTTACACTACTAAGCTAGTATTACTAAAATTTACATCTATAATTAAATATTATAATTTTTACTTGAACCTTATAATATTTAATTTTAGATAATACTAACAATTTCGAAATAGAGCTCTATTGTTTTCAGGCTGAGGTAAATAGTACAGGATTTTTATTATCTTATTTGTTTCTGAAAAATAATAAAAGATGCAATGAAGGAATATATATTGCAGTTATCTAGACCTTTCTTACCAAGCTATGTGAAGAAGAAATTCAATCAAAATTTTTACTAACAAATAAGAACTTTGCTCAGATTAATGCTGCATGCTTTACTTGGCATAATATTAAAATCCAACTATGTAAGTAGCATATTAAAAGAGCTATGATGTCTTGATTAGCAAGTAATAGAGAAACTAGAAGCTTTATATTCAATCTATTATCTGAATTCAGAACTTAGTTTTTATTTAAAGGTATCATACAATTATCTAAGTTTTGCACCAAACAATATTAGAAAACAATTTAGAAGATGATAGAAAAGCATTTTTATCAATTTCCATTAATCCTCATATGTGATGATCAATTTATTAATAGAACATTAATATGAAAAAATGCAATTCAGAAGGCATATATTTTTTGTAAAGAAAATTTATTAATTTCTTTTTGGTCTTATTTGTGGTATAAATAGTATAGCAATTAGTAGTGGCTATTATAGACAAGATTTACCTATAAGAATAAAATATCAGTTCTAAAAACTACTATATTTGTAGAAGGACATTGGAAAGTAATAAAAAGAGATTTTCTCTATAAGTTCTTTTGGCTATGCCTTAACTTGGTAATCTATATTATAATATCCAAGATAATAACTCATTAAACATGAAAACTATAGCAAATATTGATTAAAAAAAAAACCTAAATGGCTAAAATAGTTTAAATCATAATGAAAAACATTATTAATACACACTATTAATGAAGCATATATAACAAATATAAACTAATAGACATGTGGATATTTATATTATCTAACCAGGTAGTTTAGCATTTGTAAACACTTAGTGCAACAAAAAGAGCTAGTTACTAGTAAATTTTTTGATTATATAAAAAAAACTTAGCAACTTATATTTTTAATAAAAGACCAAGATCCTGTCGAAATGAAACCAGAATTAGTTATTTTGCATGGCAATATCAACAGCAATGATAATGCAAATAAAAATATTAATGCTATTTATAATGAGTTAATAGCATTAATGATGAAAGCATTGAGGCTTCTTAAAGAACAAAAGACAGTCAAGAATGCACTATGGTCAGAAGCATAAGAAAAATTTTGATCAGATTAGAAGAATGATTAAAGAAATAAAAAAATATAGAAATAGAAAAATATTATCTTTAACTTAAAAGGATCATACTCACAATATATGCTTTTTGAACAACTAGTTTCCAAGTTCAGTTTAAATACAGTTTATAAGGTAGATTCAATTTAGTTAATAAAGCATACTCATATTATTTTACCTTCTCATTCAATAAGATAAAATAATATGACATAAAATAAAGTTGCTACATATATTTAGCTTAATTCTTTATAAATTCTATTATAAATATAAAGTTTTTAATAAATAAATAAATAATAAATAAATAAAATAAAACTGTTATAAATAAAAGCATATACTTATATTTTTTACTCTTTCAGAGTCTTTAAGCACAAGTTATTTTTGTATTTTAATTAATGATCCTATTAAATAAAAATAAAATCACAACAAATTTGCATAGTATAAATAATAAGTATATTCTTGTTAAAATACCAAATGCAAGATTTCTTACAAATATAGTACTGCAATTTAATTAGTAGATCTGTCACATGATGGGAAAATTTTGTTGATGATACTGAGAAAGATCTTTGAAACAAGGTCTGAAGATATATAAAAAAATGCAAACTAGCAATTAGGTGGTGCAAACACTAGATAAGTTCCTATAGTTATGTAAATCTATTGAATTTAAGTAACAAGAAGTTCATTTGAGAAGACCCAAGTAAAGAGGTAGCTGGATCTTTGATGGCACTACTGTAAAGGCTAGCTTAGAGAAATGGATACCCAGGTCTTAGTAATCAAATAGGCAAGAACCTTCAAATTGGAAGTTTTGAAGATACTAACAATCAGGCTGTCAGAACTAACTGAATAAAAAAGATATTAGGCTAATCTAATATACTGATAGACTGGTCATAGTCATATATAGGCCATCTGGATTAGGAGTCTGATAAAATTCAGGGGTATACTAAAGTACTAGGTTATGCTGTAAAGTAAATACTAGGATCTGAGTGAACTCTACAATAGCATAGTAGTTTAATGGTTAAGTTTTGATTGCAAGGGTTGGTTTTGCTATAGCAATATCTAGGTTAGCTATAAAAATAGATACAAAAGGCTCTTGGAAGTTTATCTTAAGGATAAATTAGTCCCAAGGTTAAGACAATAATCTAGGTATTTGAGTATGATCCAGTGAGTTTACACAGGTTACAGGTTCAGAGAGTTTAAAGTAAAACACTCAAGCAAGAATGTTAAATATAGCAATTAGTAGGAAATCTTCAGACAGACTTCTTAAATAGGTAATGTAGAAAAGTTATATATGTAGCCAATTGTATGCTTTCCTGTAATGGTTTATTAAACCACAATACCAATAAGTAATTAATAAAAGTCAAAAGACCAAAGAGGTCATCTTAAAAAAAAAATAATAAAAATAATATATATTAATAATTTATAGCTTTTATAAAAATATTTAAGATCTAAAATATTAATCTTAATATTAATTATTTAAAATATTTTTAAAATAAATATATAATTATATAAGTATTACTAAAAAAAAACCTATAAACCAAGTATAGCTACTTAAATCAATTATATATAAAATTTAAATTATTTATTATCAGCATAATAAATATAGTAATATATTGTTAATAATTATTATTTATTAATAATATATTAATTGATACTATATTGATTAATATTATAATAAAAATCTTTTATAAAAAAATTCTTTTTACAAATTTAAAATAAAAGTTAATTATCTTACTTAAGATGTTCAATCTGTTATGCAATAAAACCTACTAATGCTTTTAAAAATAATAAAAAAAACATGTATTTTATATTTGAATCATATAAATAAAAGAAAAAAAGAAAAAGTAAAAAGCAATTTATAGATAATCTTTATAAGAATTACAAAAATGCTATAGAACCAAAAGGATTTAAAAATATTAGTTAAAAAAAACTTATAAAAATTAATAATAAAAACAGTAAACAAATAAATTTAAAAATATTAATTATTATTTTTAGTCTAATTAACAAATTAAATGAAATCAGCATAAACAAAACTAATTTAAATTTATTAGAAATTAAATTTGTAAACTTTATAAAAAAATAATAGATATTTTTATATCTATTATAAGAAATATACAAATTAATAAATAAAGATTAGTTTATATATTTACTAATACAATTGTTATTTTAAACTAAAAAAAAATTAAAAAAGTTACAAATACTTTTAAACAACATATTACTGAATCACAATTAAAATAATATAACTGTAAAAAAGCATTTCTAATTAAAATAGATTTGCACAATGTATTAGCCAAGGTAAAGCTTAATTATATATTCTTGTATTCACAATCACAATGTATTAATATTATTGATAAAATTAAATATTATATTGAAGCAAATCAGAACTACTTTGCATCTGAATTGTACAAGCAAATAATTATAAAAAAATAAAAGTTTCTAAGTTTTTAACAGTTAATTAAACTTATTATTAATAGACATGACATGTTATTAAAAACTATAAACACTCAAATGATCAGCTTAAATTAGCCAAAAATTATTAATTAAAAAAAATTATACTCTTATTTTAGAACTCAATAAACTAGTATTAACTTTTGCTTTTATAATATTATTTATAAACATTTTATTTAAATTAGTATTTAAAAGATTATTTGTTGTTATACAGAGAACCAAGATAATAACAGCTAGACCCAACATACAGGGCAGGTTATGGCACTCTTCACAGCTATGAAAACCAAGCTTAAAATAGCAAGCAACTCTACAGAAGATATACAACCCAAATCATTAATAATATCATTAAACTT